AATTTTCTTACTGTATGCTCCTCGGTGTAGTTCCTGTGTAACCTTATGTGCGATAATAGCATCGTGCTGCCTGCTTCCTTCGTTCAGAACGGACGGCGACTCCGTTCCTGATTAATATCTTCGTCATCATTTTGTCTACATTCTGCAACCGTTGTGATGCTGCTTCTGCGTGGTGACTGCCAGAGGGTGATAACCAAATTTTGATCGCCGACTTTTCGAAGCCTGCCTCAGTACCTAACTGCCTGTGGAGCCTTTTGTAACTGGGGTATAAAGTTCGATGAAAGCGATACCATGAGCTGTAGGTGACCTCGCGACGGTCTGAAACCGTTATTCTTGGGCCCGGCAAATGTCGAGTTTTATCCTGGCTTGGAGCCGGAGAAAGTGGTATTCGATGTAAACTACCATATTTTCCCATCGATAAAACGCGCATCATCTGCACAAAAAGACCAGTCAGTGAAAAATGTTGCACGGTACGGAATGAAAAACGTAAAAGTTTTGCCCAACACTCGAGGATAAACGAATACATAAATTATTCCGTTTCATAAATCTAAAAGCCCATGATGGGTAGGATTTAAAATTTTCTATTTAGTCTTCTTCTGAAGCCACACTTGCCTTCGACAAAATACTGGTTGTTGACACGTTATGTCATTTTTTATCTCTCTATGAGATCTCCCACTCGAAAAGTATTTTTTTCGTGCTCTGGCCAGGTTCCACTTCTGCGACTTATTACGCGTTTCTTCTGGGGTAAGAATTTTAGAAGTGCTTCTTCTTTCCTCTGTTCCCTACACTGCACTCTTCAATCTTAATTTTCCTGGCTGCCTCACCCTTTTTATTCCTTGAAATTAACGGCTTCCAGCTTTAGCACTGCTGTATAAAATTTCCTCCGAACCGTATTTTTTCTCCATGAGTAGTTTTCTCAGGAGTAGTTTTCAATGTTAAAAACTAAACATTTGCAGAATACACGTGTTCAAAAACCAGAAGCAATATGGCCACTATTGCTAACTTTTCTGTTCTTCTTTTTAGATACAGCCACAGCCGATCATATTATTCCATTATTCATTTGTTTGAAAACTGCCTATTTTCAGACAATAAATAGACTGCTCTCTATCTGTACACTTTCATGAGGATTAAATATTATAAGGTGTGCGGTTATCTATACATTTTAACGAGCATATAGAAGTACAAGGTACGCGGCATACATAAGGTGTGCGTTATCGATGGGAAAATACAGTAAAATTTAAAGTAAGGATATTTCCGCAGCTGTGAAAAGAAGTTATGATTGCGATATTTGCGCAAATTTACTTGGCTTTTGCAAGATAAGCATGAAATCTGAAGTCAAGTTTCAATGAACCATCCATTAAAAGTTAAAGAATACATTTGGACATGGTTTTATTTACAGTATTTCAGGATTCGGAACATTACTATGTCAGAACAAAGTAGCAGTACTACATCAGACTCAAAAAGCGTGGATCAGCCAGCATCAGGCGAAAGGCATAAAGACGGAAATGTGATCCAGGATAAGGCAAGAGCTATGAGATGTTCTATACAACTATTCCTGATTAATTTTAGAAACTTCAAAAGCTTAGGAACCAATGCCGAAAGGAAAAGCCAAAAAAGAGCAATCCAGCTGTGTTAGGATTGGGTGGATTTGGTGCTGCCGTGTTAGTTTTTCAAGCATATAACTTTCACTTGATTGGATCTTGTCCAGCCATGTGGTTTGCGTTGATTCTTGGAGGTTTGCTGCAGTTAATAGCTGGTAAGTTAAAGAACAAATGGCTCTTATTTGATTCAGCTTAAGATATTAACCCTTCGCCAAACTTGAGCAATTGTTAGGAAAAATCTTCATTTACAAGACTTATTAAGCAATGAACTTTGCCGATGTTTCTTTCACCTGTGGCATCTCCACTGTACAGCACAGATTGTAAAGTTTGAATTAATGATTCTACGAAGATGCGTTTAAAGTTGTAGAATTTTGAGCTCATTTCATTGCATTGGCAAAGGATATACATATTGCTAAACGATCTGAGTCTACCTCAAGGATATGTTTTATATGCGATGCGGATGTAAATGTTGTAATGATTACAGACCAACTACCATTGTTAATTAATATTTTTCTTTCGATTAATATGTTATCTGTGACTTAGGTAAATATAATTCAGAACTTATTTCCTCTCTTCGCTCTCTTGATGCGATTCATTGAATATCTGCAGAAGTATTTCCTTTTCATAGTTTTAGTGGAAGTCACGTACTCAAAAGGCGTTGTTTCTGTTTTGTTGACTTCGCATATCACTTGTTTCCGTTATATTCCTACGACAAATTTCAATGCGTTATATACTTGCGTTAGGTTGCCAAGAATTTCATACCGGTAATAACTTTGGATACGGCGTGTTTAGCGTTTTTGGAGGCTTGTGGACGTGTTTCGGCCTAATAGTTTTGAGCGAGCATATGGGGTGGTACCATCCTGTCAAAGAAGATATGGGCTGGGTGATGGTTGTGTTCAGCGTTTACACTGGAATATGGATCTTCCCTACGCTTTATATGGACGCCGCGCTGTTTGCGATGTTTACTGTGCTCTTCATCGCTTTCATCTTTACTGACATCGGGCATTTTTTCGAACCTGTATCCAGATATTTCGAATTTACAGCAGCAACACTTTTCATGATTGGCGGATTCATCGCCTGGTACATTATGGCTCATTTCATCTACCTGGATATATTCAAAAGCGATCTGGTTCCTCTTGGCAGGGCGCCTATACTTTTCTTCCGTCAACGCCAGTATGCAAAAGCTGAACAATCTGTTCCGTAGTAGTTATGAATCATTGCGAATTTTGTGGTTGGCGGTTCTTGATGCGGCGAAACGCTCAATCATTAGCGTTCTGGATTTTTGCTCTCATTTATCTACTAGCACTTTTCTCGCGCCCGTGTTTATGCCGCATTAGTTGTCGAATAAAATAAGCCAAATATGTATTGGATACCATTTAAAAATTTTCAATTTTGTAGTAATTCCTTGGAACTCTGGCCGTAATATGTAATACAACGTGCGCTACAGATATAAGGAGATATAAAAAAGAATCTTGATCGTTATGACGCAGGCCTTCGCCTGGTTTTCAATCAAATCATGAGATATGCAGAAAAGAAAGAAAACTTGATAAAATGCGTAAAACATATTGCACAATAAAAACGCTAATTTGTGCATATACATATGGACAGTGGATGGAGAAAAACGATTGATACTTGTACCAAGGTTTAAGAGCATTTGATCATATATAACATACCTGCGCATCATTAATTGAGTTACTGTAAAAGCCGTGGTTTGATATGGAATGAATTAAAAAATAAGTCGTACGGTTCAATGAGAGTGATCAGAGAAAGTGACAAATATGATACACAAAAATTAATCTGAATCTCCGAATCTAATGTCCAAAGTTCGGAATATACGGGAGAATTGAGATGGTGAAAAGTGGCGAACCAATTGCTCCGCTTGACCACAAAACTCAATACTAACATGACAAGTCAGTGCAGATGGTACAGCCTTTCTTTTCATCATGAACCCAACGCCGCTGGATCGAAGTCGATTTTCAAAGGCCCTAATGGGGAATACCTGGTCGCCGTTGTTTCACTGCGTAACAAGTTTTATACATGATATTCTGGTCTGGCGCACGCCAATGACGTCGATAAATGCGTCTTTTGATGGGGTTCATGAATTGTGGCTGGTCATGATTATTTTAATGACCATTTACGAACGAGTCCTGCGGTTAACCGAGTAAAAGTTGTCGTTCAGGGCTACTCGGAAGTGTGCATCCATTTTTTCAGTTTTTTTGTGCCATTCAATTTTCTAGCTAATAATTATGTGGCAGATCATTCGAGGTGCCTACGTTCATCGGTTGTAACGGATTCAAAAAAAAAGATGTCCTTCCTATTCATAAATTGCACTAAAGTAAAGGCTATCGCATGTGAATCAGACTCTGACATCGCTAACTTAGATCTTTTGTACATCTTCATTCAAACCTGATCTATCGTATTTTGCCATCGACGATGCGCGCATTACCTGTACAAAAAAGTCAAATTAACGTAAAAAACAAAGCTGCGCGATATCCAATGAAAGTGGAAAAACATTTGGCCAACACTCGAGTGTGAACGAATACACAAACTTTTTTTCATAAATTTAAAAGCCCATGACCGGTAAGCATTAAACTTTTTTAGTTTGTCCTCTACTGCAGCAAAATATTGGTTGTTAACATCTTATGACCTTTCGATCTCTTTGAGATCTCCTACCTTAGAAGTGTTTTTTCGAGCTCTTGCCCGAAACATCTTCTGCACCTCATTGCACGTTTCTTCTGGTGTAACCATTTTACAACTGCTTCTTCTTTCCTCAATTCACGTAAATTGGACTCTAAAACGTTACATTTTCTGGCTGCCTCACGACTCCATTCTTCTTTGGCGAAATTAAGGCTTCCTGCCTAAACATCGTTGTATATGATTACAGTATTTTTCTCTCCATGAGTAGTTCTCTCAGGAGCAACTTTCAATGTCAAAAACTAAACATTTTCAGAATACAGGTGTTCAAATGCTAGAAGCAATATGGCCACTCTTGCTAACTCTTCTGTTCGTCTGTTTTAGATACAGCCACAGCCAATCATTTTATTCCACTATCCAATTGCTTGAAAGCTGCCTATTTTAAGACAGTAGATAGACTGCATGCCATCTATACATTTTCACGAACATTAATATGACAAGGTGCGCGGTCTCTACTAGTGCCCGTTATCGATCGAGATGTACAGTAATCAAATTGAATTAATGATTTATTCTATCTCTATTTGTACGTTGATTTTTAGTTTCTTTCAGTTGCATGTTACGAAATGCTTTGATTAGGAGTAGAATGGGTTACTGCATCTCGATTTCATCCATGACCTCAGAAGCACATTCAAATCGCACATACTAAAGAATATTAATCGATGCAGCATACAACACTTTACTTGCGCATTAAGAAATCACAGTTGGATTATCGGATGATTCACAACACCGACGTTTCAGCCAGTATGTCACGGGTAAGATGTGGCTGAGTTGAGAAGTCGTTCTGACTGCCTACAGGGATTCATACGATCAGCGCAGGCGGGCCTTCTTTAATCGATTATTTTCAGGCTCAAGCCTAAAGAAATTAATTGCAAAATGTGCCTCACTGTGATATGCGGCCAGTTACTTTCGTCCTTTTCTACTCATTGCCAACTCGACACCAACACTGAATTTTCAGAAAGGTGCAGAAACCGTTGACATAATCGTTTTAGGGTTTATATTTGGAATATACATTTGTGACATTTGCACATGTTTGGAATTAAATGGCAAGTGCATAATGAGGATCAATTTTAGGAACCATTTACCATGACCAGAAGCCTGTGTCAAATTGCATGTTTGCTTGTTTTTATTTTCTGATGTACGTTTTTATCTTCTACTCTTTAAATTCTTCGTTGTAGACTGAGCTTGATTGTCCAAATCCGATCAAAATGTTCGTTTCTCCATTTGAGAATGAAGTATGACCTATTTGTTTTGTGCGTTGATGAAAAAACTCAAAAATAACATGTAAACAGTTTATTTCCTGCACAACGCAAAGGATGGCCACTCGAGAGGCCGAGCCAACCGTTACCAATGTTTCTCTTTTGCAACAGGCATTAGCTGAATGATCAATCAATATCGAGCTCAGATCCGTTGCTGGGCATCATTTCTCAGCCTCTGGTTCAGCCGGCTGCTAGTGAGTTTCGTACAGATCAAGAAAATCAATATCAGACACACAGTCGATGTCACGATGACGTCTTGCCTTAAACTCTACTTGTATCACCTATCAACGGGTAGGTTGTAGTGTTTCTCTCCGAAGTACGGAAGTATGATGTGCTCCAGGACCCCGGAAGCGTGGTGCATGGAACGTAGGATCAATCTAAAGTCTTCTTATCACAGGTTTGTGTTCTGAGTGGCTGAAGTGTCTTAAAAAGTGTCCTGAAATCTGTTACTTGTCTCAAGGTAGATGTATGAAGCATGTGTATTTCAAAAAGAACCTGTTTAACTGTGCATCAAAGAGACATAGAACCAAGAAGCATCATGCGTAGATTTAAACCTTCACGCAGTGAGATTAGTAATGAGATGCCGAATTCTCAAATTCATTAATGCTAGAAAACGAGCTGCATAATTATTCACTAAATGTGGATTTGTTTATGGTTCGACGATTTTGCAGCAGCAACTGCGCTGCGACTACTTTTGAACCTTCAAGCAACCGACGGTGACCGAGGTCTGGCCGGAAGTTGACTGTGAAGTGACAGTGACAGCCATGACCACTGACTCTAAAAGTTATTTACAACTTTAGGTGGTAGATTTATTAAAGAATTTGTCTTCCGCTATGTCGCACCAATGGCTGGTGTCCAAAGTTCAATTGCTCAATCGAAAGCGATGTCTACGCAAATTTAGGCGTCATTCGTTTATCAAGGCAGGTAAAGGAGAGAGTCTCTTAATCGATTACTCAAGTTTAAAGTCATCGCATAGCCTTGGTCGAATTTGAATGCAATTTTCTGGTTCGTTGGCCTCAATAAAATAAACTCTGAAGGACACAAAGCAACAACAGAAAGAAAGAAATTGCTGATGTGTCCCCCTCCCCAAATCAGTGAAATGTAGACACCTTTGCTTCTACCGTAGCCGCGAAGATCTCTGCTGAACACTGAAACGACCAGTTAGAGGAGAAAATGGTAACCGTGGTTGATGAAGCTTCTTTACAGCCAAATCCATCTATGAAAATGATGATCATGGAATGATGGATTGAATACTTCCGTCAGCATTAACCCTAACACCTGAAAGGTGACATTTTTCATCATATACAGTACCTTTTGAACGGAAAATTTAAGCCAATAAGCCAAACAAGCGGAAGCTTTCGGCGACGGGAGTAGGTAAGATCAAAATCAAAAAGTAAATATGGTTGTGAAAGGAAAATCAGATAGATTTTTCGCAGAAACTGGAAAGCATGGGATTGGAAGCTTGTCATAATTAATGATGTTTAGCTTTTATGAAATCATGATTACTCTGGAAGGTGCATAACGTTTGACGTCTATGCCCATGCTTCATCGAAGTAACGAAAACAGAATGAACGGAAAACTGGATTTTTGATGGTCGTGGTTCTCGGTCTCTGTGAAGCATAAGCCGTTGCTTAGAAGCTGATCTATCTGGAACACAGCTGAGCATAAAAATCAATAAATTTTTACAATGTTCAGAACTAAGTGAATGAAAATATGAGCAATTGATTCATATAGTACTGCGTAAAGAAAACACCGTGTTTACGGGAGAAACTTACCAAACAGGAGTTG